AGGAATAAAGAAATAATTCTGGGATTTTTCTTTTCTGTTTTACTTTCTTCTTTTGTTTGTTTTTGAGGAACTGGGGGATGGAACTACCAGGGACTGGCACATGCCAGGAAAGTGCTTTACCACCGAGCTCTGCCCTGAACCAAGAAATTATTTCAATATCGGACACCACAAGAGTAAAAGATATCCTACAAGCAGCTGGTCTGTAAGTTAGAGATGCTGTAGGGAGTAGTGTAAATGGAAATATTTATAAGCATCCTGAAAGAACAATTATTTAGCAAAGCCCTGTGTGATTTCCTCCCTCCCGTCATAATAAATAACACTTTTTACTGCTATTGTTGCAATTTAGAAAGTTCAGGGTCGGGGGGCTGTGATCCAAATCACCTACCATGTCCCATGGATACTGAGAATCCAGCACCACCATCTACTGAGTGCTCAGTAGGCCTTGAGGTCATTGTCACCAACTGCAGCCAAACCACTATTAGCGCTCACCATGTGGCTTGTGGCCAGGTATTCCATTTGCATCACACCGGTCCAGCTGCGCAATGACCCGTGAGAGGGTGTCTATTATTTTTCTGTTTTACAGATAATGAGGCCGAAGCACAGGCTTTAATTCACTTGCCTGAGATGGTGAAGCTAGGAAGAGGTAGAACTGGTGTTAAAAACCTCAGGTCTGTAATTCAAGTGCCTGCTCTGAATCATCACATCTGCAACGTAGTTATCAATCCAAGCCAGGGGTAGGTGCATATCCTTCAGTCTGTATCTGACCCAAGATCAAGGGAAAGATGAAATGTTCTCATCAAGGCCAGCTCCAATGCAACTTCTTTTCTTTTCTTTTGTGTCCCCCTCTTTTGTTTTTGAAACTTACTCTGTGGGAATAAAGAGAGCTGTGACACTTTGTCTTTTGGATCAAGTTGTTGTTGTTGTTGTTTTTTTTTTTTAACAGATCCTCAGCTTTTCACAAAGTATTCCTTTGGAAAATCACTCCCAAGCTTTTAAACCTAACAGGCCCCTGCCTTTGAATCATCATGCTACATTTAGGCTGAATGGATTATGGCCTTTCCTATTCTGTTGCTAACACTGAGCTTTCAGATCTCCAAAGAGATTCTTCAGTTCCAGGGCTTGGAGACTGTTGGCCACAGGTTTCCTTTTGGCAACTGTGGCCTTCAAAGCCACTTAAGAGTTACAAAACTGTACCTGGTACACACGTGAAAGACTCAGTAAAATAGTGACCTTTGTAGAAAACCGCCCATAGTTCATACAATCCAACCATCCCAGAAGAAACAGATGATTTTGAAAAAAAGAAGCCAATTCACCTTGTGGTGAGCAGTCCTTCTTCAGTGTCCAGTGACAGGGCACGGTCATGTGACCTGAATGTGGTACATTTGCAAGGCACTTGGCAATTTGTTTACTAAGGCCAGATAGTAGAAGAAAATGCAGGCAATAAATAAAACACAAGTGTTTTAAGAAATACCTATGGTTCTAAGGGACTCTACTGGTATTATACCTCCCAAGAAATACCAACTATTCTAAGGCCGTGGTCCCTGGAGCTGGCGATGGGCAACTAGCTTTTCAGAGATCTGTTTTTCAACAGCTGCTAGAGACCCAGTGAGCTTTGGAGGAGCAGGGGTCTGTCCCTGATCCCAGAGCTGCTAAACTGGAAAGGCCTCGTCTGCTGTCACCATGTCTCTCCTGCTGCTGTCCTGGAAGCTCTGTCTTCCACTCACCCCTCTTGCTGGGTGTTCTTATTCTGGGTATCACTGTGGACATGGTCTTATCTGGGGAAGCAACTGAGGAGGGCTTTGGTTTGCTTTGTTCTGAGGTTCTGGCGGGAACCCAGGGCCTCACGTGAGAGTGCTCTGCCTCTGAGCCGCACCCTTTGCCCCAGCCTGGGAATTCTTCATTAGTGAGCTTCATCCAGCTCATCCCCCCCCTCCCCACACCTGTTTCCTTTTTCTTGACTTCCTTTCATTTAAGAGTATTAAAATCTCAGTGAACTGAACTAGAAATTCTTCAGAAATCCTCTCAAATCCTTGGGTATAGGGAATTTTTAAAAGACACAGATGATAGGAGATCAATGAAGGAATTTCCCATTGCCCTCTGTCCGACCCCAGGATGGATTGATGGCTATTACTGACTCTCCCGGGCTTCCTCTTCAGACCCAAGTTCTTCAGGATCCTGGGGTGACTTAATTTTTGTCTCTTCATTACTGTGGTGCTGTCCCTCCCTTGCCCCACTTCTACTGTGACCTTTGCAATGTCTTCTGTATGATTCTGTATGACCCTCGATGGCTTCAGTGTCCATGAGGCTACACCATTTCACTCATTCATTCATTCATTCTTCTTTACTGAGTGCCTAGGCGCCATCTAGTGGTGCACTAATGAAAATCAACACTCTACTCCCACTCTACTCTTGGTTCCTTGAGTTTTCTCTCCTCCAGTGACTTTTACAACTCTGCTCCATAACCAGCACCCCTGGTGAAGGTTTGGTTTACAATTGATCATCTTTGAGGTCTCTGCTATCTCAGATTTCCCAGTGGAAGGCTGTGGCTGTTCACAGTGAATGTGCCCTTTGCTCTCCCTTCTGCTTTGGTGTCCCTACTTTGATTCTTAGCCTAGACCAATGGGCCACCACTGCAATGACGGGCATGAGTGTCCCCAGGACTACATTGTCAGTCCTCAACCCTAGGGACTTGAACACATTTTCTTCTTCTCTGATCCCCAATTCCAGCCTATAGAGAACTCTGGGGACTGGATCCACTTCCAAGTCCCATCACCTGACCTTCGCTGCACTCACAGATGCTTGATGGTGCTTCAGCTTGTGACCAGTGGGTACAGGGGTCAGCTCCTGGTTCTAACACGACCCTCCTTCCCCTCCATGAATCTCTCCAGCTACACAGAGTATCCTCCCTCTTCTTCTCACCAGTAAACTTCTAGATCAAAGTACTCTGCTTCCATTTCTTTTAGTCATACTTTCAACCTCTTGTTATTGGCCTTTGTGAACCACCCCTCAAAATTTTTAACAGTCCTTAAAAACTTCCTCGTTATTCAGTTAAAACACATCCCTAAATTCATTCTTCTCTCCTGTGCTGGTCGTGCTGCTGGTCAAACCTTCCTGTTGCAACCGACTCTTGCCTTGGCGTCTGTCACGACTCTTTCCTGCTGTCAGATCCTTCCTGCCTTTTATGTGACAGCTTCACTACAGGTCCTCTCCTGGGCCCTGGTGGGTTTAGTCTCTACCCTCTAGAGCTAAAATCACAGGGGAAAATAAAAAATCCCAACCCTTGGTATAACCTACCCAAGATCCCTAACGACCAGGCTCCTTCCCAACGGCCCTGCGCCTCCAGCTACACTGAATGACCCAACTGCGCCCAGGTCTCCTGGTTGGGCCTTTTCCTTTTCTGCCTGGTAGACATTTCTCCTGCACAATACCCAGTTAGCCCTGGCGAGTTGCTCTTCCCGTCTGGGTTATGCACCCTCGGTGGCCCTATCATGGCACTGGAACATCATTCTCTTGCCTGCCTTCCTCATCAGAGCGCAGGTTGCTTGGCGGCAGGACAGAGGTGTTGTTGACATGAGCGCAGGATCTCATATTCTTGTGAGGGTGCGAGACAGTGCTTGGAAACCCGTCACTCAGGGCCAGCAGCACAGTAGGCACCCTGCTATCTCCTGTTTTCTTCCTTCCTTTCGTAAGCTCCTGGGGGACAGGATTTCCCCGATTTAATGAGGGGTTCTAAGTGCTTTGCATGGATGGACTTAATCTTTATGATAACTCCATTCAATAGGCTTTTTGCTTCCATTTTACAGACAAGAAAACAGGTGCAGAAAGAAACTTGCTGGATATCAAATTCTATTAAATAACAGAGTGAGGCTGTAGTTCTAAGGCCTTCCATTTTTTTTTTTTTTTTTAAATTTCGGTGCCAGGGATTGAAACCAGTGGTGCTCTATTGCTGAGCTACATCCCCAGTCCTTTTTAAGTTTTGAAACAGGATCTCATTAAGTTGCCCAGGCTGGCCTTGAACTTTTGATCCTCCTGCCTCAGCCTCTCAAGATGCTGGAATTACAGGTGTGTGCCACCATGCCCGGCTTGGCAGTTATATTCCTAAGATATTTTCATACATATTTTTATCTGAATGATCCTCAATTTTGTGATAAGAACATAACTACATGATCTCTGCTTAACAAATGAGAAACCAGGTTCACAGAAGTTGGATCAGCAAAGATGGGCATGAATTTGGTATAACATGTATCTTCTAGCCAGGGCTTCCTCTGCTTGTACTCTGGTGATTTGGCAGACAACAATAAGAAGTGGGCATTTTTTCTTGATCATAGTGTGGGGATATTGCATTCTGGTGGTGGGGAGGGGGGCAGCATTTTTTTTTTCTTTTAAGCTGGGTTTAAAATGGGAAGAGAAAGAATCTTAAAATTTTAGGTCTGGTACACCTCCAGGAAAGAAAGAAAATGTGAAGGAGAAAGAGTGGCATCTATTTGGTCAGGAAAGTATGTAAAAGTCCTCAAAATTTGGGTCCCTTACGGACAAAATCATTCTCTTTTTTTTCCCCTTTGGGAGGGGTTTGGAATCATACCAAAACCCAAGAGAACTGCAAAAGCAATTTCTCTTGTTGCGCTGAGTTCTCAGAACCACCTACTGCCCCCCAATAACACCCTCCAGTCACCCTTAGTTTCATCTGAGTTGGAAACTGGTTCTTTCAGGTGCCTGAACGACACCAACCAATAATTGTTGCTGCTGTATTTCTGCACATTGAAGGATGTGTACATTCAGATTCTGCTAGGTTTTTCTCACACTTTTTAGTTCTACCTGTCCTTCCTTTTCTGACTTAAAGGGACCTTGCTCTCTACCTGATTCCTCTTTATTAGTTATTTAGTTCACCTGTTTTATTTGGCAGAGAATATCTGAGGGAAAAAAAAACTTTCAAAAGAAAAGCAAATCTTACCCTAAAATCTAATATGTAAAGAATGAAATTCACCAATTTTTAACCAAAGTAAGCAATAATGACAGGTTTATTTAAAATTTCCAGTAGAGAAAACCCACTAGTTTTGGAATAAAAGTACTCAATGTACGAGAGCATAAGTGAATATAAAAGATAACAGAAGAAAATAAAACCAAACATAGTACAAAAAAATTAAAAAAGTTGGAAATGGATTTAAACAGGGATGTTCTTTAAATCCTCCAAATATTTAACAGTTACTAGGTTTGGCAAATAATTCATTTGAAAATTAAAGCCTGTTTCTGTACTGTAAACTCCATAAAAACTGCTCAATAAATTCAAGCACTCCATACAATTGGTATTGAAATACATAGGCAGTCGATCTCAGAATAGCAGGAATTATTCATTTGCTCTCACAGTTATATGAATTAACCAGCTGCATAACTGCTTTTTTGGGGAAAGGATGGAGAGAAGAAAGAAAGAAAAAAAAAAAAGAAGATAAAAATCTCTAAAAAATTGAAACACAGCAAAATTCAGGCATCAGTTCGTTTCTTTAAGGCGACAAACTGAATTTTTACAGTATATTCTACATTTGCAATTGTCATTTCCCCCCTCCCCCCACCCCCTCAAATACTCCTAAATTCACTAGTCTAATCAATTCTTAACTTTCAAATATTCTGTACATACATATTTAGCAAAGAGCATATGCCTAACATTATTCTGACAGCAGTATGGTCAGCATACAATTTTAGAAAGATTACTATGTATATCATAAAGATTAATCTTTACTTAAAAACAAACAAAACCATTACTAAACAAATAGTTTTAAAAATTATGAAAACCCATGAAAAGAAGATTCAACATGGGCTCTAAACCTGATAAAAACACACTTCAGAAAGACTAACCATTAATGCTAAACTTCTGCCAAACGATGACCCTAAAGTGCCAAACACAAAAGAATCTCTTAGGACCATTTTTTCTAATAGATAATTTGTCCCTGGCTTGGCCATCTCTTCTTTAACTATACACAGAGTCCTGCTAAAAGTCTGCATTTTAGTTGATTTTACAAGAGAATGTTACAATGTAAACTAGACAGGTTCTTGATATCAATAGTATGTTACCAAGGGTTTTCAAATTTCTGAATCCAACAGTTGGTCACAGAGGTCAAGTATTATCAAGGCTCCTTTGTCAGCTCTCCATTGGGTCTGACTCATCCATCCTTCAAGTACATGCAAGGCTCAATAGTTTTCAAGAGGCAGAAGCCTGAGGCCGTTTAAGACACTGATGAAATAGGATTATGAGGTGAACCCATCTGGGTGAGAACTTTATCCAGCCACTGGAGGGGACCGTGCAGATGTATCTCAATCCAGCAGGGGGTGCTAGTAACATCCTGGCGGTGGTATTCTGCTCCCCAGCCCTGGAAAAAACAAAGCAGGGGTCATTTAACTTGTTTAATGCAGGGTTCAACTTATTAAGTAAAAGGAGTTCACCTAATCAGGGACTCTGACTGAAGCGACAGACAGTTCCCAGAAGAGTGTGCACATACACGCCATCTGGCAGGCAACCTGCGGGAAATGGTGCTGGCCACTGGAGGACTCCAGGGTAAAGAATTACTGGTCTTGGGGCTGGGGCTGGGGCTGGAGCTGGGGCTCAGTGGTAGAGCACTTGCCTAGCAGTGAGGCACTGGTTTTGATTCCCAGCATCACATATAAATAAATAAAATAAGGGTCCACTGACAACTAAAAAATATTAAAAAACAAAACAAAACAAGAATTATTGGCCCTGGGGAATGAAAGTTTTAAAAGACACACATTTTTTAACTTTCATATTCATTTCCCATTCCCTTCTGAATAGTAAGGTAATAGCTATTATTAAATTCTTATTTTATCATCAATAAAATAAGGAAAAGGCTTCTTTGGACATTGATACCCTCTCTTCCCTGTTGAGCCACCTAAGGTCTGCCTATCAACACGGACCTCTTGATCTTTTGCTCTCTAAGCAAAACTGGCAGGAGTGCATGGAAGTATCCCCAAAGTTACCTAGCCACTGCCTGAAGTCAGCATTTAATTATTCATATGTATAAGAAGGCAGCTTGGCAGACATCTTCAAAATTACTGAATCAGGACCCTAAAGTTCCATAGAAGATAAAGAGCAGAGTAATACTGCCACTTCAGAGCTCAAAGACTTGTTGGCAAGTGTGGACAGCAGAACATGAAGTTCTGGTTGATCCCTGTTCCCTGAGGTGTACCACAGAAGGCTGGCTACCTACTCTAGCAATTTCGAGAAGTACATCTGAGTGTGAAGACCTTCAGGAGACAGTGGTGACATGTGAACTCTACCTGCACATAGTACGCAGACACATGAACTTGAACCTCCATTAATATATTACTAAATGGAATGTGTCGGTTTTCCTCCATCAGACAGCAGGTTCTGAGAAGGCAGGGACAACGTCCAGCACAGTCACTGGCACAGAGCAGAAGCTCTATACACACTTGTTCAGCTGAACAGATCGGGATTTTTCATCTATGGGGGAGTTTAAGATGCAAATAATTTATGAAATATATGCTTTATATTAGCATCCTAAAACGGCAAGCTTAAAAATGGTGCAAGATTGGTTATTAATGTTGGTTATATTAATGTTCCTTAGCATTTCTCCAAGATGCTGAGTGGCAGAGGGTGAAGTGTCCAGTCATTGTGATAATGAAGAACAATGCTGTAAAAACAATCTGCAATGTTTTTGTTGCTAATATATGGGAATCCCTTACGATGTCAGCAAGAGTTTTTACTAAGATTCGTTTATCCTCAGCTCTCTAAACTCAGCTTTCCAGCTATGTCCACTACACGGTGTCAGCCCCTTCATGCTAGTGCACATCGTATGTTGTATTAATTACATGTGTGAGACCACAAGCATCCTGAAGCTAGAGACTGTAGGTTGTTTTCATCTTTGTATTCCTTCTCTGGAATACTGCTAAGACTCTGGCTGAAAGAATGAAATCTATTAGTGTAAAAGTACATTATTGAAACTATAAAAGTGCAGTCACGGATATACACACAGCAATAATAATGTCTATTTTATTCTGTTGTCCTTCCTTTCCCCCCTTCCCCTCCCCTCCCCTCCCGTGACTGCATGACCAATGTGATTCTGCAACCTGTACACTCAGAAAAATGAGAAATTATATCCCATCTGATTCAAATGTATGATATGTCAAGATCATTGTACTATCATGTGTAACTAATTAAAACAAAAAAATTTAAAAAAATAAAATGTAAAAGTTTATTCATGCTAAAAAAAAGAAACTATAAAAGTGAAATAGTTAAAATTGATTGGGTAATTAATATGAAATGAATCACAAGAGGCAACTAATTGGAGTATTAGAGCCATAAATTCTTCCAGAGTGGCCTTCAATAATAATAAACTCACAAGGGATCACAGAATAATTACCGCAGTCCCAGCTCCATCCACCCCCATTTTACAGATGAGGAACATGAAGCCCTCAGAGGAGTCCCTGCACCTTAGTCACACAGTTAAAATAGCAACTAGAGGCCAGGTGAGGTGGCACACACCTGTGAGCCGGGCAACTTGGGAGCCTGAGGTAGAAGGATCACAAGTTTAGGGACAGTCTTGATAACTTAGCAAGACCCTGTCCAAAATTAAAACAAAAAAGGCAAAGACAGCTAGAAGAAGAAGAACCTGTATCTCTTCAGGCTGTTCTTTCCTCCAAACCAATAAAAAGAAACAAACAAAAAAAATGCTTTAGGCAAGTCATGTCCTTATTTTAAAAATCACCTGAGTCAAAATGCTAAGTCAAAAATTAAATAGTGAATTAAAAATGAATGAAAATGGTCTTTGTAGTCTCATATGTACATGGACAATAGGTCAAACTCTGAAAGGGGCAAAACAAAACAAAACAAAACCCTCTTTTAATATTAAAGAGGTACCAGGCTCCGTTGCAAAGAACCACGGAACTACATTTTGAGAAAAGAAGCAGTAAGAAAACATACCAAAAATCTGCTAAGAAACTCAAAACAGGAAAAAATGATATTTGGGAAAAGATACATTTGATCTAAAGAATGATGAACAAAATAAGGTTCCCAAATTATCCTCAGTAATAAATACATTACAAAACCGGTTTGATAACTAGCTAAGTGAGCTTCTAAAGAAACGACACAGAGGGTGACGGCCTCACCCAAGTCTGTAATTAGTTTTGTTTCTCAGAGTGACACAGGATGAAAATTTATCTTTGAGAAATCAGAGACAAGTCAGTCAGTTTCTAGAATAAGTCACTGGCTCATTAAATATAATCAGATATTCAAATTTTTTTTTTTTTTTTACATTTCAATGGCATCTTAGAAACTTTCATTTCTCAGAGGCACAAGATGAGGCAGCACAGAGTGACCAGTTAGTACAAGCATGTCTTTAACCTTCTCTTCAAACATACAATACACACCTAATGCACTTAAAGCTAATAAGGTATTATTATTATCTTGGAGCAAGGGCCTTAATAAATTTTGAACTATATGAAAAGTACAAGATGTACTAGAACCACTAAAACAAAAACAACAAAAAAACCCTGACCAGTCAAAAATAATTTCCAGGGCTGAGGATATGGCTCAGTTGGTAGAGTGCTTGCCTTGCATGCACAAGGTCCTGGGTTCAATCCCAACATCAAAAAAAAAGAAAAAAGAAAAATCCAGTGTGATGAACTTTTATTTTTACAAAAAGATCACGCACTTATCATTGAACCAAAAGTAACAAGTGTTACTATCATAAAAGTAGCTAAAACAGCTAAATTTGTATAAGGAACAGGCTACTGAAGGCTACTGCAATTGACATTTAACACAAGCGCTCCTATGTCCCAATATTTTCTTAGAAATTCACATGCTGGTTAAGGTTTAAAAATCCCTAGATAGCAAGTCTGCTATGACTGAAATGTATCAAGAGGATGTAGACTGATACACTTTAACAAGGCACAGCAAAATGTATGAAGCCCAGCCTAGAGCAATCGGGTCTCACCTTCACAAAGCTCATGCGTATAGTACACATTTTTGTGAGCTCGTAGACAGTCTCGAAACCATGGTTCACAGACTGTGCCAACAACTGAGCAAATTCTTGGTTGTTAAAAATTTTCAAGCTACACCCACTAGGGATCTTGCAAACAGTAGTGGGGTGAAATCCATGGTGGTAGTTGCAGTTCCGACTTTGCACGAAGATGCTACTGTCACTGAGGCATTCGGCATACACCTCCCCTCCAACATAGTAAAGATGCACTCCTGTGGGAAGACAACCATTCAGTTACTGCCATCGTTTTACAGCTAAAGGCACTTGTGCAACCTCAACATAAAAATATACATTTATACGATTTCAACTTTGGCAACATAGGCAGATATTCTCTAAGTCCTGCACAACTGACAGACTCTTAGTTAAAAAAATATCCACACGTGAATACAACATCCTTACATCAAAAAACACATCCAGGAGGTTTCTAGGGAATAACAGAACAAGTCTTGAAAATAATAACAAAGTATAAAAATTTCATGTTTATATTTTGGTACTGGGGATTGAACCCAAGAGTGCTTTATCACTGAGACACATCCTCAGCCCTTTTTGAGACAGATCTCACTAAATGACATTGGGCCTTGTTAAGCTGCTGGAGCCAGCCTTGAACTTGTGATCTTTGTGTCCCAGCCTCCCAAGCCACTGGGATATAGGCATGTGCCACTGTGCATAGTTCATTTTTGATAAGTAATTAATGCCTTATTTGGCCATGGCTAAACATGTATTCTCACTCTAAAAATATTGTACGATAAAACTTGGGCTTTGTTGTGGTATCTTCTATGCATTCATAATGTGTCTCTTGGATTTATTCTGCAGCAGAGAAGGGGGACCAAGAAAAGTAGAACTAGAAAACTAGAGGTAGAATAAGCTTTGCTGAGAACTGAGATACAAGGTCTAGTAAAACAAATTTTTAAACTAAAAAATGTCATATTATATGAAACAATAGCTCACTAACCTACCACCTGCTGCAAACTTCTTCCTGTGAGACCGACCCAGAGTTCTAGAAGTGTAGAAAATCGATACTGGTCAGTCTTTAAAAGAAGGAAAAAGGGGAAAGGGCCCCTTTGACAAAGTCCCATGCCATTAAGGGAGATTACACAGGCCACCCAGCAGTCACAGCCCGTATGGCTTTAAATGATCCATCTTACAGGTAGCTGCATGGCTTAATCACTGCTAATGTGGCTGTCCCATCTGAAATATGAAGTGTTGTGTTTACATGTGCACCCAAGGCAGAAGACTTCTCTAACAATTAAATAGCTGCTGAGGCAGAAACCCATCTTTCACCTGATACAGTAAAAACTTCTTCACAGAAAGACTTTCATCCCTGATGGAAAAATGATAAATTTAACCATATAAAATTTAAAAAGTAAACAAAAAATATAAAGAAGCAAAAAATGTCACTCCATTAGCAACACAGAGGAAATAATTGTTAATAGTCTGAAACACCATATTCAGTTTAGGGCCTCATTAAGCTTTCTTTGTAAACATTTAAAATACCTGCATGACTGTATGGATCTAACCATTTGTTTTACAGTTCTCCCATTAGCAGATCATTGTGTTGATGCCGATTTTCTGCTGTTATAACAATGCCATGATCAATGTCTCTGGACAATTTTTAATAATATCCTTAGGAGAGATTCCTGGAAGTTAAAGCACTAGATCGAAGGCTTTGACTCACTTTGCCAAATGACTTCCAGAATGCCTGGATCAATTGACACCCTCACCAGTAGTGTGTAAGTGCCTTCCTCATTTGACCCAGGCAGAACTGAATATGAGCTTAAACAAAAGCAAAATTTTTCTAATGTATAGCTGAAAAATAACATAGCTGTTTTCATCTGTGTGTAAGGCTGGATACGCTCTCCAAGTCCATTCGCCATCTGGGTTTCTACCCTGAACTCAACTGTTCGTGTTCCTCCCTTATCCTACTGTGGTTCTGGCTTTCTGATTATTTTTTTATGAGCTGTGCATATAGAGATAGAATGTAAATAATTTACTTATTATTTCCTTGTTCTTTGTCTTTTAATTTGGTTCATGATATATTTTTTAACCTAAAGAAGTTTGAAATCCTTTTAAGTCTCTTTTTGTTACTTTTTTATGCTTAGAATTTTTTTTTTTACATCTCTGATCAAATATATTTTACTCTAGCTTTTTAATTGTTTGCCTTTGAAAAAAATGTTCAAAAATCCATTCACTTATATGATATGAGGCCAGGATTCTCCCCACTTCACAACAGCCGACTGTGTTATTAAGGTCTATTAAATGACTCTCCTGATTTGCTATGCTTCTTAACAACTTAAATTTTTATGCAGTCTGAATTTATTCTCCTGTTTTTGATTTACTTGTTGTTTTGTAACATTTTATTAACCCCAATGTCAACAGTTTTTTTCTTTTCCATTAAATCTTTTAGATACTCTCATTTGTTTATTCATCCAGGTAATACTCAGAATACATTACTCAAATCTCAGAAAACATCACATTGTAGTTTAACTTGCTTTAAACAACAATTAAGTTAGAAAGAGCAAATATCCTAAAATGCTCTCACAATATTAAGCCTTCCCTTTAAGGAACAAAGACTGCCTATTAATTCAAATTTTATTTCTCTCTCAGTCCAGTTTTAGTAGCTTTATATAATCTTGCTACAGTTCAGATTATTTCCAAGAAATTCATGTTTTCTGTTGCTATGGGACTGGGACTTTCCCCTCCCTTATACTTTTTAATGAGCTATTGCCAGATGAAGGGAGACTAACAACAACAACAACAACAACAACAAGATTCTCCAGGGCTTCCAGGTGAACAGTGCTCACCCACAGTGTGGGCACAGGTGAGGGAGAAGGCTAGTGTGCTTCTGGCAGGGCTGTGAATTAATATTAAGCTTTCTGATAAAATACATCAAGAGCTTTTGGCCTACCAGTTTCATTTCAAGAATGTATCTCACGAGTGTTATCTAAATCACTCTTATCATCTGCAAATCATGATAATCTTGGCTTAAGCTTCCATCATCTGAAATTGTGAGCACACTACTCAGAGGATCTGGAACAATTTTAAGAAATGGCATTCCCAGAATCCTTATTTTCTTCCTAATATTCTGAAAGGCAATTGTACACTGGCTTTTTACTACTTTGGGGGAATAGCCACCTTAGAATTTAATGAAAAGTAAGTCCTTCCATTCCAAATGCAGAATGTGTTTATACATAAATTACAGGGGTTTACAGACCATACAAAGTTATCTGTGTATGTTATGAACTTAATTTCTAGCATTTCATCATTAAATGTATTTAGTTTTTATTTTTTCCCCTTTTAATCATATTAAGGAAATACCTATCAATTCCTATTTAAGGACTGCTGGGTTTCACTGCCTCTAGAATGTTAAAACTTTGTCTCAAATGCTTTTCAAATACCCATTAAATAATCTATCTGGTCCACTATTTTAAATTTCACAGGTCGTTCTTTTTAAACATTTAACTCTGAAAATAATTTCAAATTTATAGAGAAGTCTGAAAAACATAACAAAGAGCAACCATACACCCATCACCCACACATCCCTTATGTATTCTGACATAGAGTTGCTTCAGATACAGGCAGATGGAGAGAAGACAGATATCTTCATATGTACATAATGTCTTTCTCAACTATTGCATCACAGTCCTTTACTCTTAAGTACTTAAGTATGTATTTCCCAGGCAAGACGGTTCCACACAGTCCTCAGCAAAGTTAGTGAATTTAACATTGATATGAAACTTTAATCTACCATTCTTATTCCAGAATTGTTCTCTCAATAATATCATTTATAATAATTTTCCCCTGTCCAGTACAGGATCCACTGTCATATATTATATATAGCTTGTCATGTCTCTTTTTTTAAAAAAACTATTTTTTTTAGAGGTTGATGGGCCTTTATTTTGTTCATTTATTTATATGCAGTGCTGAGAATCGAACCCAGTGCCTCACCCATGCTAGGTAAGTGCTCTACCACTGAACCACGCATGACCCCAGCTCCTTAACGTCTTTTAATCTGGAACACTTCTAGCTTTTCTTGGTTTTTTTTTTTTTGGACAAATATTTTGGGAGAATAAAGTCACTCTTTACTCTCTTAAATACAGAATGCTCATCATTTTGGGTTTGCCTGATGTTTCCACAGGATGGGGCTCAGGTTTGCATTATCAGCTGGAATCCTGCATGGGCGATCCTATATCTTTATCAGGGTATCACATCTGGAGGTATATGGATTCGCTGTCTTTACTGCTGATGACAATGTTGATCCCCCAGTCAAGATGGGGGATCAATTATGTAATTATAAAAACAAATTACACAGTTTCTATACTTTGTAATTACTGCCTTCTAGTGTCCTTTGTGACTAATAGGTAGTTTGTGGGGATACACCTGAAGACCATGCAAATATCCTGATTCTCATAAAAAATTCTCTTTGTATTTAGTATTCATCAAGGAGCTTTGATCCTTACTAGGATGCTTGCAAACTGCTGTTTCTCCAACTCTAGCTCGTTCTATACCAATCAATCTTCCTAATTCACTAGTTCATCTATTTATTGTTGACAAGGACATATGTTAGTGTTCTTGAGCGGTTTAAAATTAATTAATGTATCTAATTATATTTGCCCCCAGGTACCTATAGGATCTAAATTCACAGATTGAAAAATATTCTTTAAAAAACTGCATCTGTACTAAACATGTACAGACTTTCCTTTCCTGTCATGATTTCCTGAGCAACACAGCATAACAGCTACTTAAACAGCATTATATTGCATTTGGTTTAAAGTATATAGGAGGATTGCACAGGTTACAAACACTAGCACACCAACCTATACAAGAAAACTGAGTACCCAAGGGTTTTAGTACCCTCGAGGATTCTGAACAAGATATACCAAGGGACAACTATGTTTTGTGCTCACATTGGGAATTGTGGAAGCCCTTTCGAGTTGGCTCCTGTGACACGCCCCATAAGCATTCTTTACTTTCTGACGTAATGAGATGCTGGCTGTTTTTCCAAAAAGCCCCAGTTCCTCTTGGTGGGAAATGGCAACAGAGGTTGCAGTCGGGGCTAGAGATGCACTTGTTGCTACTGGATGTCTCTGTTTCTTGGCCCTCCCGGCACACACATCAGAAACCACATGCATGTACAGACACACGTACATAGATTTCCATACACACGAGAACAAACACAAGCATGCACGTCTAAGTACATATTATTAAAGTCATGATTACACACTGATGCCTCCATCTACCTCACAATTAATCTCTTGCCCTCCTTCATGTTTGTGTGTCCCTTACTCCACAGTGAAAACCAAGCTCCCCAAATAGCCACACACTCATTCTCTTAACTTTATCAAATATCTAAAAGTTTCAGAACTATTTTACTCATATCACCACTAAATAATTGAGTCTATTAAAAAGATTTTATTCTATAGCAAAAAAAGATAGAGCAGTGCCCTAAAATAGCAAATCATGATTCTGGCTAATTCACATTAATAAAATGGCAGTCAGGAGACCACACAGTGTTTAAATGGAAGAACTTCTAGATAATACAAAATTTAAAAATACTTCAAACTGCAGCAACTGAACATGACCCTGTGTTTGCTACAGGAATGAATGACCAAGTCTCCTCTGGGAGAACAGCGATAGGAAAGATAAACATCTGAAGGGTTCAAGAGAAGACTCACCTTTTCCAATATGCCGCCTGGTGTTTTCAATAGTGGAATTCCGGTTAACATTGGAGAGCAGCCCAAGGCAGAAACGGTTCTTATTGTTGGAAGGATCAGTGAAACCATCCACCAACACACTTGTGGAGGAGGCATGGAACGCTTCACCCACTCGATTGTTGAGCTCATAGTAGACAATAGAGCACCAGTGTTTTGGTTCTTCATAAGCAACTGCCTGAACATCTGTAAAAAAGAAAAGGTTCCATCAACTGAAGTTTGGGCCTCGGGCTCTCAAAAACTGAAACTGCATCCAAAAAACTGGCTCAGGATCATGGAAGAGCAACTGCGGGTTATAGGTTTTCTCTGATGTCTAAAGCAGGTACTTCTTAGGAAGTGTGACATTCTCCTTTAAAAGGAAAACAATTTCCTACAATTACTATCAGAGAGCAAGCCCAGCGACAGCATCTGCTGAATACTAACAAAATGCTACTTGCTCTTTAATATGCAGAAATGGAAATCACCCTACCACAGCCCCTGGCTCCCCATCTAAAGAAGCCAAACAAGAGGCCAGTGAAAAAAACAAGTGGGAAAGAACAGCAGAGTTAGGCCAAGAGTGCCGCATACAAAGGGCTCACTTTTGGCAAAGCCTTTTCTACCTATGCTTTTTAAAGGAATGAAAATCAGTTTTTAATTATTGATAAGAAGTGACTTTATTTCGTATAAAGTTGCCAATGATGACCACAGCTCCAGTTTTGCTCCAGTTCTCCAACTCAGGAAGAAATCCTGCCAGCTGGCCATTCTTACACAATGAATCATATCTCTCTCATCCAGATTTCATGCTAACTTCCTTATATTTGCTTTAAGTCATGCAGAGCAGGTGTGTTTTGTCTCTCCATTCCCAGAATGGGCCAACAATGGAAATTACCCAACTTTACTGACAGGATGCAGCTTGTTAAGTCAAATCTCCTAAGACTAACAAGTCTCCCAACAGAACACACTTCTAAACACTTGCAACTAAAAGGTTTTAAAGATAAGTTCCTTCTGTAGTAAAACCTCTTGTACAACTGCTTTAGAGATTCCAGGAACACAAAACCATAGTATTTCCAGCCTACCAATAAATAATGATCTGAGGTTTATGAAGTCTTGGGTGTGCAATCATAAAAAATTGAAAGAAAATCCACATGAGAGGCATGGGCTATAACTGTTAAGGGAGAAGAACCTCTGTGTTCTTACTATCAGCCTCTACACATATTAAAATGCACTTTGTTTTTGACTTTGGTAAAGAAAACAAAGAAAATGATCACTAAAAAATCCCACACATTAGTTGCTTTATATACTTACATATTTCAGCTGAAAATATATACTATTTCCCTTGTTTTCTAAGCAACTCTGCCATGTCAATTTGCTTAAGCTCATGGAGCAAAATTTTAGTGATTTACAAGTGCCCAATCTTAAAGACGGCTCCAATGTCATTCATATAGGTCTTTTATCAGCTTCCAGGATTGTTCAAAATACTATTCAAGTAGACCAGACACTGATGCAATTCTTTTTCTATAAAAATGCCATGATAGGGCTGGGGCTGTAGCTCAGTGAAAGAGCACTTGCCTTACATACATGAGGCACTGGGTTCAATCCTTAGCACCACATAAACATAAATTAATAAAATACAGATATTGTGTCAATCTACAACTAAAAAAATATTTTAAAAAAATGCCAGAATATTTCGTGAGCCATACAATCTTTATTAGAACTATCCCACTCTGCCCTTGTGGAGCAAAGGCAGTCAGAGATAACAGGTAATGACTGGCACGGCTATGCTCCAATAAAGCATAGTTTACAAAAACAGGAGCAGATTCAATGGGATGTGGGCTCCAGTCTGCTGACCCCTGCTCTTGGGAAGTCACCAACAAGGACAATAAGAAAAAGACCCAACATCCCCTTCCTTATGAAAATATTAAATGATTGTAGACTTATTCCAATGGGGAAAAATTTAAAGTTATATTAACAGGAACATTCTTAAATCTGTGTCTATTTCCTGAAATCAACATGTTAGACTTAACCACAATGGGCACAGGGTCCACAGGGTCTTATCAGTGTGTACTACTCTGTCCGTTCTCTCCTTCTATCCTGTTCTCTAAATTCCAAAAACGTGTGCGAGAGGGATTATTTTTCAAATCAGAGTGTTTATTTGTTGACTTATATGTTTGATAGGATGTCCTAGAGATGATCAGGTAAAACACAGAATCAATAAAAAAAAGAAAGTGATTTTAAAAATTTAACTGCTTAGAAGTTGTATATCCCAATTTATTACATTGCACATCTAAGAAAGGTTCTTTGAGTTCGACTTTTTAAAAATAAATCTTACTCTTTAGAGCAGTTTTAGGTTCACAGAAAAATTGAGTACAAGGCCAATAGATTTTCAATATGTCCCCAACCCTATGCATAGCTTCCCATATTATCCATAACCCCTATTGAGGGGTATATTTGTAATAACCTATAAATCTACTATGACACATAATCATCACTCAACGTCCAGAGTTAACATTTATTTGGGGATGTATGTGGTATTGGAGATGGAACCCAGGACCTTGTGCAATCTAGACAAGTGCTCTATCTTAGCTACACCCTTATCTCTGGGTGTTGTTCATTCTGATGGTTTGGACAAATGCATAGCAACACATAGCTATCATCAGAGTATCATACAGATATCATCAAACTTTAAGTACTTAAAAATACCTGCAACGCTGGCGAAGTCTGAGACATCTATTTTAATTTAAAAAGAGTCAATAAGACATATCTAGCAATCAAGTTGCATTTTTAACTTCAATTTGCATAAATGTTACACAGATTGAACAATCTGTGCACGTGAGTGTATGGGTGTGCCAGTGAAACCCTTCCCGAGAGGCCACTGGCTGTGGCTTCTAACAGATGCTCAGGGTCCTATCACACTTAATTTACCTGTGCTCTGCTCTCTTAAGCCTACTCGCCACTGTCAACCTGCAGGAAGGATGGCACGATCCCCTCAGTCACTGCCATGAATAATACACAGCTTAAATTAAAGACCCACCCTTCACTAAGGAAGGAAAGAAACATTCAGTTCTGCTTAGAGTCCTTCAGGGTGAGAGGAGGAAAAAGGTGTGCCTCAGTGTCTTTCGGGTAATAAAGTTAGAAATAAATTCAGCAAGAAAGAAGCAAATGTTATTGGTTTTGGTTTCAGCGAGACATAAATAAGGTCTAGAAAACAGATGGAGTTTATGCATGTAGATTCTAACCACCAAAGAAACCTTTCAGAAGGCCAATTACGAGAACTTTCCGCTCTGAACATCACCTGTGGAGCTGGTGCTGTGCCCACTGGGGTTCAACTCCCCTCTGTCCACTTGAAAGCATTTCTTTCATCACCAGCTCTAAACGATGCAGTACTGGAGATAAAAAGATGACTGCACAACCACACTCGGGCCTCTGTTAATCAAAAATTCAGTGTTTGCTCTTTAAATAAGAGACATATGTGTTGTCTGCAGAATTCTGTCCACCGAGCTTCTCTTCCTGTGCCTTGCCTTTCTCTAGCAGCTATCTTTTTTTAAAGATTAATAAACTTTGTGAGAGAAAGCAACATACTAACTTTGGATTGTAAAAGGGGAGTAACCAGCAACTCATTTTACCTCCTCTGTTGATCTCTGAGGGCAGGGAAGGCGCCATCATATTTGTGTCCATTGGTTGAGAGCCATCCTGGGTCATGGGGTCCTCGGGAGGCAAGTAGGCAGGTGGGGGAGTATCAGCTACAAAGTTTCAAAAAGATCAACATGCTTAAAACACGCTTAAACACGTATTCTCGAAAATGCTTAAAACACATATTCTCTTCTCTGCTAAGACAAGACCCCACGTTGCCGTCTAACCTCCACATCAGAAGACTAGATACTACGGACACTGGTCTTGATGTTACCCCCAAACCTTACACATTCTTGATGACAATTCAATGGGAGGAGCACCCACTATGAGCCCAGTTCCAGGAGCTGTCAGCCTGTTCAGGACCACACCATTTTATTTATTTATTAAACATTACATGCAATTTCTTGTTAACACTTAGGAGTTTCACCCAAGTTTTTAGCACTAATTATACAGAAGTCTTAATAAAAGTCTATGGAAAATGCTTCCCATCACTAATATTTGTTGTAGCCATTTTTGGGAACCTTAATGACTTCAGTGTCCTTAAGGCTTATGATATGGCATTACTATTGCCAGCTTTTTCTAAACTTCTGCAGAAACACATCCAGGTAAGCAGACTCACTAGCTGGCTTGGACCAGGACATTTAAAAAAAACAATCAGAATGGCACTTAACTATGGATAGAAAACATCTGAAAGCTAATTATTTAAAAAGGAGGTTTCAGAATCTTTTGTATTAAACCTATGGGCTTTTTAGGAATTTACCAGCCAAGTTTCATTAGAGTCTATGGATTTAAACTGATAATTTTCCATGACTTTGAGCAATATGTTAGGATTACCTTCTCCCTTCTATTTAAATCAGCACTAGTTTTAAAATCCCTAATAATAAAATAGTTGGAAATAAATCAGTTTATCACAGTTTTAATTCTAAAATCCTCTGTTTCAGAATCTACATATGTACTCTTGTGAAGGGCTCACCAGCTGGCAAACCAGGGCAGACAACATGGTTTCCGGAGCAACAAAGACTAATAGAAGTCTGATGTTTTCTTACTGTAAAATAGAGGGTATTTTGGTTCCCCACAAACAACCCTTTGTGGTCCAAAGCCAAATTCCTCACTGGCTCTTGGGAGCCCACCACCTAGCACCCATGACAGAGCCTAGGGAACAAACTTTGATCTTAGGGAGCCATGCATGCTTGGAGAAGTACTCAGGGCAGCTCTCCAACACAAATAACCAGCAGTGCTCCTTCAGGGGTTCTTGGGGATTCTACTGATGCTCCTGCTGAATCAGCCCAGTGCTTCCACCATCCAGCTGCTGAAAAGCTGTGACTCAATATCCTGACACAGGATTAAGGGGTTGCAGCTGGATGCCTTTTCCCCTTTTAAAATTAGCTTCTTCTCTATTAAAATTGACTCGGTTTAACCTCAAGCCAGGACTGAAGACAGCCTCCTCTGAGCCTGAATCCTTTGAATTTCTGCTATCAAGTTGGTGACAATTTCACTGGCAACCTGCAGCATCAGCATGGCTGATGAGGAGGGAGCAGTTCATTATTGCTGGTGGTCTACTACTCCTCCTTTCTTCTTCCTGCATTTCCTCTACTTGGCCTGTGCCTTAATCCCTGACAGTCAAGGACAAGGTGTAAATTCAGGCAATAACCTTCAGTGTTCTCTTTCAGGCTTGCCCTGGGTGCCACTACTGAAAGTGCTTTGAAATATACCTCCTTGCCACTAACCTGTCCATCAAACCCAACAGGTTTTTGAGGGAGCAGTGTGGACAGGGAATCACCAAATGTTATTAGTTTGATTTTACTATCACACCACCTTCATCCCAAAAGTTTTGGATTGAAAAACCACAAAGCAAAAAAAACAGGCTTAAAAGCAGGGAGTTAACAAATACATAAAAATGGAAGCAATGGAAGCAATATGAAGTATGAAACACTTTCCTTTTTTTTTTTTTTTTTTTTTTTTTCAGTACTGGGGATTGAATGTAGAGACACTTTACCTTGGGGCCACATCCCCAAACCTTTTTATATTGCTAAGTTGTAGAGGCTGGCTTTGAACTTGTGATTCCCTTGTCCCAGCCTTCCAAATGGCTGGAATTATGGGTGGGTACCACCACAATGGGTCATTTTTCAATTTTTGAAGGTTCAGGACTGATGTTCAATTTGACATGCTTGCCCATTTTCCTTTTCCAAAATGTTAATGGATTTCAAGCGTACCTTTGATTCTTCTTGAGGTCAACTGGCCAGAAATTTGGTATTAATTTTTTTTTGTGTGTGAGATGCTTGTTTATTAATTTATAATTTGAAAAATACAATGTCCTAATTAATCATTTATTTTGATAACCATTACACTATCAGTTATGTCTAAAAGAGGAAAATAATTGTTTTTTGTCTCTGCTAAGTTAAACAAGCAGATGGTTTCCAGTACTTCTGCTGCAATTCCTTTGTTGCTAAAGTATATGTTTCTTGGGATTACATCACCACTAAAATGAATTTAATTAAATGGGGAGGGAGGGTGTGATCCCTTAGGAAATATCTTTTCTGAAGTTGCACTGGCAACAGGGGTTTTTCCACATCTGAAATGATGTTAATCGAGACTGTTTTTCATAACAGCAATGTGTGTAATGCACTATTTTTCTCTCTCTCTTTTTGTATCAAGAGCAAAGACTGTAATAATTATGCCACTCCCAGAAGGATGCAGCTGTTTCAAAACTTTTTTAAAACAAAGGAAAAACAGTTTATTTGAGCATTTGTGCCTGACAAATAAAGCAAGACATTTGCTTCCTTGGCTGGAACCTCCTTCCTCTGCAAGTGGCACTGCAAAGCAGCAGAGATTGGGCCCGGATGTTGCGGTGAAGCCCCCTCCCGCCAGGTCTCCCTGGGACCACTCCATCCTACCTGGCATCTGGAAAGGGCTGCCCGGGTCTGAGCTGGTAGGAGAGTGAGGATAGGTGCTGCTGCTGCTTCCGGGAGAGTTCGGGTAACTGCTGTTGGGAGAATGAGGGAACGGGTGGCTGTTGGGCTGCTGGAAAGAATCTGGAAAAGTGGCGTTGAGTGGCATGTGAGGCTCATTCTGTCCCAGGTTCCGGAACTGAGCTAGGAGGCTGTGCTGAGGGTTATATTCACTGTGTCTCGGAACCAGCACTGGAGGAAGAACTGGAAAGAAGGAGAGGAAAAAAAAGAGAAATAAAAATGAGAATTGTGGAGATCGATCAGCACCTCACTGTAAAGCTGTAACATTATCTGTAAGTAACAACAAATGATCTGAACCCGGCCCTGCTGCCAACTCAAAAACACCATTCAAATGAAAAGCCACTGAGGCTCAGGAACAGATATAGCCTCTTTAGACCCCGAGATGACATATGCCTGAGATCTGCAGCACAGACAAAATGCCCCAGAAAAGTTTGCAAAATATATTCTTTTAGGTTAAAAATTGTTAAGTTTCTCATTGTTAATTTTTCCACCCACTAAAAATCAAACACAATTAGGAATATGTCACCATTGACAAGTCCACTTCACGGCCCAGCTGATAAGGTGTTTATTGAATGATATGAATTATTCCCAAAGAATGTTTCAAATTGACACATGACTTGCTTTAAAATGAAAAGGAGATAAATGAAGTCAAGAAGGTAGATACAGTGGGCAAGAGAACATCCCAAGGCTGGGGAAGATGTCCATCACACAGGGAGCGATGCTCTGTCGGGCAGGTTCATGCTGCGTCCCATCCCAGCAGCAGCACTCCACGCCACATCTTTTCCTAAGGAAAAGAGCTGTCCTCAGCCACAGTGACTTTACCCAGCATTCCTTGGCACCACTTGGTAGGCCAAGGAGGACACAGGATGAACTCTACATTCTGCTAACTGAAAACTCAAGGTATGAAGGCCAAAAGGCAGGCACCTGGGAGAAGCAAAACAACTCCTGTCACTCCTAAAAGCCTCCTAAAAGCTCTCTATAATATTAAGAACTCGAGGAGTTGAAAATCGGCATGTTCACCAACCTCTAGAAACCGCCAGGCAAAGCCGCTGTTGATATAGGGGCAGGGGAATGGTCAGTTACAGAGCCTTGAGCAGGCTCCACCCTAAGTTTCCCACTTGGTCACCGGTTCCTCCTAATGACAAAGGCCTCTGGAAGTCCTCCTGCTCTTGTAGCCTCGATGGAGAGGATAAAACCCATTTTCAAACTGCACGATCCAAGAGACAAGATTTCAAATCTATTATAGTTGGAAGTTCAAACTCAATGTGTTAAAGAAACAATACTTGGTGGCATTAGGAATTCAGTTGACTTTTGAGGCTTTCCAGGCAATCTGTCCATGATTTGTTTTATTTTCGGGGAAAATAAGCTCTTAATACTTGGATCATCACATATTTATGGGCTGAAAAAATATTTTTTAAGTAAAAAATAGGTTTTATAAGTATTAAAATTTCTCATGCTGTATCTTAAATTTCTATATAATCCTGTAGCAGATGTGTTGATTTCTCTATTATTTGGTCCTTTAGGAACTAAGCTTTTGAGCATATATAATTAAAAAAAATTTTTTTTAATAGCTCTGTGATGGAATCTGCCCAAACCAAGCCATTAAAAGCCTGATTCTTTTCTCCTTCTACCTTTCAATATCATCTGAAGTACAAACTACTTTGCTTTATCAAACAAATTCCTAATAAATGCTTCCGCTATGCCAATAGAAACTTTACAAAATAAATACAATCTGTCAAACAGTCCAATACTTTTAAATTATCTTCTAGCTACAGTTTGTTATGCTTTTCACTCTAACTCACCCTAACTCCTAAACCACTTCCCACAAATGCAGAACCAGGCTGCAATTTGAATCAATTCTCCATCTCCTCTACCTTTCCGAGAGCATCCCCTGCCTGCCTATTTTAGCAGCTCTTATTCTGCCCAGGAGTCTTAGACTGAGGACTTCCTGTTCCTACTGCCTGCAGGCAGGGCAGCCAGGGGGGAGGAATTAACCTTTGCCACAGCAAAGGACAACGTGTTTCTGTACCCCCAGCATGTGTTCCCGCAGTAACCCTGTTGTGTGGCTACCTGCTCAGGCACAGAGCTGTCCTCAGCCACAGATGAGCTCCATCAGCTTTTGTAGATGACCTGGGAAGTGAACCACCAAGGACAGCGAAGCAGCATGCTGCAGAAGAACTTGACCAAGAAAAGTAACTATTTCCCTCACCTCTGTTTTATTTTGGTGTGGTGCTAGGGACTGGACCCAGGGCATTGCACATGATAAGCACATGCTCTGCTGCTGAACTCCACCCGCAGGTCTTCACCTCTGATTATTAAGATGATTTTGTCATTGCTGGTACAGGACCTTTTAATAAACTCTAAGTAATGAATTATTAGAGATCTATAGTGAGATGCACAGATCTTCGCATAAACAAAACATATACTGCTCCATCTGGCTTCTTCCCCTGTGAGATCCATCTAACGTTGTGTTCCATTTTATCACATGTATATATTGCAATATATTTGATGACATAATTATATCTTATGCCAAAGAAATTTTTTCCAGTTTGGAGTAATTATAATGAAGCTGCTATGATTCCTTTATTTAACTTATTTTAAAACAATTTCAAAGCTACAGAAAAATTACAAGAATAGTATAAACAACTCATATATCCTTTACTCAGATTCAACAGTTTTTAACATTACGCCACATGTGCTTCATTATTACATCTCCTCCCTTCTCCTTTCACAGGCACATGCACATGCACATATACTCTTTCTGAATTATCTCAAAGCAGGTAGCATATATCCCCCACAATTCCTAAAAAGAATATTAACTTCCACATATAAGGTTAACAAAATAGCTGCTTTCAGTTTCATACTACTAACATTTGAGTTGTTTCATAGACTCTCTCTCAATTTGGGGTTTCTCCTCTGTTTCTTTTTTTTTTTTTCATTTCTTTTTTTTTTTAAAGAAAAATATTTTCTTAGTTGTTAATGGACCTTTATTTTATTCATATGTGGTGCTGAGGATCGAAAACCAGTGCTATACATGTGCTAGGCAAGTGCTCTATCACTGAGCTACAGCCCCAGCCCTCTCCTCTATTTTTTGATAATTAAACTCAGAGATTTCTGACTGAAATACTGCCCAGGTGATATTCCCCCCTTCTGAGGGTAAATATCCAAAAGCCACTGTGTCTGCTTATGATTGATGTGTTGTCTAATTCATCCACTGTCTATAGTATAATTCTTCCTTTTGTAATAAGAAAATCAGTGAAAAATACCTTAAGACTATGTAAACATCATTTCTCATCAAACTTTACCTCTATGTGAAGCATCCATTTTTGCTTGAATCAATTTTTGCTATAATGATTACAAAATGGTGTTATTTAACTCCATTATTCCTCGTCAAAATTCTAACATGAGCACTTTCCCTTCTTCCCCATTTACCTGCCCATCAATCATCCACATGGAGTCAAGGATTCTTAGTCAATGGACTACCTATTTTGACGTTCAGATGGTCTTGGAATTGGCCATCAGGAGCCCATGCAAGCTGGCTCCTATGTCTTTTTAACATGCCATAATTTTTTGAGATTTAATTTCTGGAATAAGATGTTCCAGACTTATCTTTCACCCTTCTCTCCAGCTCTAGAATTCCCAGTCCCTTTCAGTTAGGAATGAGATACAGAAACCAAAATCTGGGCTCTGTGTTCTCTAAGTCTACCAGAGTCACACAGATTCTAGGGGTGTGTGGGCATCTGTGTCTTACAAATCCCAAGTTTTTACAGTTAGCTCCAAGTCCAATCCAACTACACAGGGTTTTGATTTGATTTCCTCCTTTAGTTCATATCAGTGTAGCCATATTTCAGGAACAAGCCTCAGCAACACCAATATTAATACATTTATGAAGAACATCCTCAATTCTAAAAGATACTTAAAATTTTTCAAAACAATTTTTCAGAATCATTATATTTATACTAATTTATAAACCAAACCTAAGATAAACTTGAAGCTTATTTTCTTTTTATGAAAAGTTTTTTTTATATATACAAACTACTTAAGATTTGCTCCAATTCATTTACAATGTATTCCCCCACACCCAGTGTTATTTTATTAACTTGAAATTTTCTTTCTCTTCTTTTGGTGAGTTTATTTATTTGAACATGACGTTTGTTGCTGTTTTAAGAATTTTGTTCTGCAATCTTGATTTAACTTTATTTTTTAAATAAAAGAATGTTAACATGATTCTGAAAGTCAAATACTATAGTCCCTCTCCTGTGTCTTTTACTCAGTCCCCTATCCTAACCTCCTCATTTTTATTTTCAGGTTTATTCTTCCTGTGTTTCTTCTTGGGGGTGGGGGAAAGCAGATAAATGTCTGATTCTTTTTTTTTTTTTAATTTCCTCTTTACTACTAACAAAGAAAGGTGGCCTACTGTTGTTATCTTCTGCATTTTTGCTTTTTCTATACCTGTTATGGTTTAGATGTGGTGTCTCCCAAAAGTTCACATGTGAGACAATGCAAGAAGGTTCAGAGAAGAAATAATGGGGTTATAGCCTTAACCTCATCAGTGAATTAATCCCTGATAGGATTACCTGGGTGGTAGCTGGAGGCAGGTGGGGTGTAGCTGGAGGAAGTCTTCACTGGGGGCATGGCTACGGGGTATATATTTGTATCTGTCAAGTGGAGACCTCTCGCTCTGCTTCCTAATCACCATGTAAGCTGGTTCCCTCTGCCATATTCTTCCACCATGATGTTCAACCTCATCTCGAGCCCCAAGGAATGGAGCCAGCTTCCTATGAACTAAGACCTCTGACACTGAGACCTCAAAAAACTTTTCCTCCCTTAAAATTGTTCTGGTCAGATCCTTTAGTCACAGCAGCAAAAAAGCTGACTAAAACCACATTCTAGTAATAACTTCATGTTATAGAGATCTTCCTCATTTGTTATGAAGTCCACCATCAGTTTGTTGAGCCCGTCTCCCATGCCTGGGTGTATTAAGTGGTTCCCATTATTTTACCTGTAAGGCTGTACTGACTGCGCGTATGTGCGTGCTGCTGAATTCCCACAGGTGGAGATGCCGGGTGAAGGGGTAAACGCACATGTGACTGTGACTGTTAAGCACCCCTTGTAGGGTTGTCATTTCCCACTGCCACCAGTTATGCATGAGCATCTTCCCCCTACCATTTTCCAGAGACTTG